GGAGGGTAGCATGCCTCTGCCCCCCTAAAAAATCGCGGGTTTGGCGCTCACCGCCGCCCCTCTCCCCCTCCAACATTGACAGTGGGGTTAGGGGGAGGGTTTGAGTGAGCATTTAAACAGCCCATAGGAGAGTGCCCTGCTAGACAGCAGTAATAGCGTTTTGTCACATACAATTTTGTCTTGGATTGTAGCTGGTGGGACTGTCCTATTCTACTCTCGCAGTCGCAATGAGGCTTGTTCCCAGGTCTCTCAGATCGATCATGGACAAAATACCCTACTTTTACAATGATGATAACTTAAACAGAAAGAAAGACTTTACTGCATGAGATATTTCAAAATTCGAAATTTTGGTATTAATGTGTTCAATATATTGTGAACGATCAAGTTACTGAATTTCAAATATACTAAAATTTCCAAAGAAATATATATAAATCATATGTTATTTATCGGCTGGGAGGTCCGTATATGAAAGCATTTCCCGAAGTCATGACAGTGCGTGCGAGGTCCGTATGTAAAAGACCGAGGGCAGTGTTTTCCTATACGGGCCGACCTATAGCCGGTAAATAACATTTTTATTTTGTTAATTGTATTTTCTGCAACTTTGCTCGCAACCTACAATGTTGGACATATTTATACGGGACAAGCACATATTTTTTTTGTACTTTTCAGAGATATATTGTAAATGTTGATGTCATGTGAGATCAATTTTTGAATGGGTATTGAACATGGGCATCTTCCAACATTGAATAGGGGGCAAAGGGATGGGGGTGGGGCTAGGGAAACAGGAAAATTCTGTAAATTGTTGAAAATAATCGTGTTGTACCATTGGAAATGTTTCCCATTGTAGCTGCAGGACTTCGTGGACCCGGCAGATCGTGAAATACCGGACCGCGCGCAAGCCAATCACAGCGTGCAAATGACTAGGAACCGGAAAATAGATAAAAAATAAATAAATAAATAAATAAATCCTGCGTGTCTAGTGGGCTTTGACTATTTTTCTTAACTGTTTTTAGGGTTTTGCCTCTTCAGACCCGATGGAATATACACAGATCCCAACGACTGCTCTGGTTTCCTCCAGTGTTATAACAACCAAAAATTAAATTTTAAATGTCCAACTGGTAAATTGTATAATGTGGAAAAAAAATATTGTGATTCGCCAAGCAATGTTAACTGTTCCGGTCGTCCAACAACTTAAGGTATCAAAAAAATTAAGATTGTTGATGGAGATTTATACATATACAGTCACATATTTAATTAGAATATTAATAAAAATCTATAATGTTGACCGAGGCGTAGGGATATATTTGGGCAAATCATACGAGAGTCTTCAGAGTATGCCAAATCCCGGGCAAAGGGACGGGAATGTGCCGCGATTTAGGGTGCGGTTTTTCGGCATAGGTCTTGAGTAGTGTAGACTTTTTGGCACTTGTCTGGTTTAGGGTATGGGTTTTGTCGAGGATAGGGCTACAACTCATTTTATACGTCTGAGCTGTAGCCGGTAGCTCGATTCTGACAAAAACTAATCATTGAATCCTATCGCTAACGCCCAGACCTAAAAAATAGAGTGTTCGATCTACTATTCTTAGGTTTTGTGATAGGGTAGGGTACGAAAATTCGAAATTTTAGTCTGCTATACTGGAGTCAGCATGGTCAGAGTTTTGAGGCCATTGCTTCACACACCTACCCAAGGTAGTAGTCCCAGTCCTCCCCTCCCGGGACTAAAACCTAAACTTGAAAAATAATCATTTGTCATTTATCGTTTTAGGAGTGACAACAGACATCATAGTGCATCCATGGTTTTAGATTCTTAGTGAAATGCCTTTGGATGTATGACAAAAGAGACTCGCTCATTCATAACAATTAACTTTATTTATTTCAATTAGGATGRTGTCATTATGTTTATGTTAAACTTATATATTGAAAATTAGCAAATAAAGATGTGCGATACAAAAAAATTGATGTTGATATCATTGTTTTTTGAATATTCTTAAGCCTTGAATCCACATAAAGACAACAGAAATCCAATTGCATATATTACATTTAAAAAAAAAAATCTTTTTAAGAATTATTCAAAATGTAGTGGCAAAAATTTCTATGTTATTAAGCTGGCATGTTTTTTTTCTTCTCGGGCTTGCTGTGTTGGAAGCATTATTGCGTGACATCGTGGGCTTCCTGTGTAGACAAACGATCAAAACAGATCAAGCGACATCACCGATCAAAGTTGTCAGTATGGTGCATTATCCACCAACATTTTTACATGATATTTAGCTGAATGATAAAGAAATGTCGGAAGCATCAAATGGAGGACGATCACGAGTGTCAAGCTTTGATAGTATTGACATTGTCGACACATATGAACCAAGTTCTGCTGGTCATAATGTCGAAACAAATTCATCGCCGAAGATAAGTGGACGAGCGTGGGGCAGAGTGAAGAAATTTCTATTATGTTCTATTCCGTTTCCAAAATCCATCTATTTTATTATTGGTAATGAATTCTGTGAAAGGTTTTCATACTATGGAATGAAGGCGATATTATTCATATACCTTTCAAATGAATTGAATCTGAGCAAAGATAATTCAACAGCTATATTTCACTCCTTCTCTATGTTGTGCTACTTCACCCCCCTGTTTGGTGCCATGCTAGCGGATGGATGGATTGGAAAATATAGGTATGTGAAGGGGGAGGGTAGTACAGTAATTACAGAAAATATATATACAGTCAATGCCATTAATGTAAGACATAAAGGTGATAAAGGCCAAAGTAATGTTATTTGCATAACGGTTTTTAGAATGCCCAGGAAGAAATTTAATTCTAAACTATATCCTATAGGTGAGCAGCCAATTAAATTCTTTTGACACTGTAAAGAGGTTTTAGAACTTTATGTTAAAGATTTTTTACAAAGAAATTCAAAGTACATGATATATGCAAATTATTTTGTTGTTTTGTCTGTAATTTGCAACTGAAAAACCTTAATTAATGGAGTTAACTGTACTTCAAATAAGTATACAATTCACTTAATAAATTTTTAAATGTTTAATTTTTTAGCATTATATTATAAGAGGTAGTAATTAAGTTTCCTTGGGGAAAAATAAAACTGTGCAAATTATGCTAATTATTTTTTTTTTGGTTTTTGTTTTTGCTCAACTTGCACTGTTTTGCACAATTTAGTAATTATTGTCACACTTTTATTGAAAGCACTGTAGGATACTGAGAAAAATTTTTTTAGTACTATTTTGTACAATAAAAGCTTCACAGATTAAAATTTTAGATTGCTATAAAAAAATGTGAGASTTAAGGTTTCACTCAGACATGACATGCAATTTACATGTAACATAACTGATTGATATGACATAATTTGTATTCCAGGACAATCCTCTATATATCTATAATCTATGCCATTGGAAACATCATTGTGTCAATAACAGCAGTACCAGATCTAGGTATGGGCGAACGTCCTGGACCAATGATTGGACTTCTTCTTATTGCTATAGGAACAGGAGGGATCAAGCCTTGTGTGTCGGCTTTTGGAGGAGATCAATTTTCATCAGATCAAGAACACTTACTGCAAAGTTTCTTTTCTATTTTCTACTTTTCTATCAATGCTGGAAGTTTGCTGTCGATGCTTATAACACCTTTGTTGAGAGGTGGGCACATTCTTTGTTTTCCTTGTTGAAATTATGGTATTCAGTGAAGTGATTTTCGTTTGACTAGTATTTGCTAGTATTTGACTTATTTCACATTTTCTCATTTTTAATTAAATTTTATTTTAAGGTGATATACAGTGCTTTGGAAAAAATTGTTACTCTCTTGCATTTGGGGTGCCTGCACTCCTCATGCTTGTTGCAGTTATTTTATTTTGGGGTGGTCGTCATGGCTACAAGAGGAGACCTCCTAATGGCAACATAGTATGGCTTGTAACCAAGGCAACAACCCATGCTCTCAAAAGAAAATTATCAAATAATGTAGGTACACAAAATAAATATTTGATATATAAACGTTTATGATACAGTAAGGATAATTATAAGATAACACTCTTGCTGCTCATCGGGGGAATGCAAACCCAATAAATGATTCTAGATTCCAAAGATTTTTACTCAGAATTTTTCAAAAGTTTCTTCTTGATTGCACCCAAGGTGTTAGTAGTACATGACTCCTTTCAGTTAACGGCTTATATATTAAATGTTTTTTTTTTCTTATAGTGGGCCAGGGTCAAATGAATGTTCAAATGCTAGGGTCGGCAATGGTTTGCAATTTACTTTTTATCTTTAAGTATATGTTTAGTATATCTGATGTGTACCCTGTTTTCTGTTACTGCTTTTTATTTATGATTAAGACCGATGATAAGATGAGTGGCTCATGACTACGTTTACTCGATTAGAAGTGTAATTGATCTAATGATCTTTTTACAGGGTTCTAAGGATCACTGGATGGACTGGGCTGATGATAAATACGACATTCAACTGATCGAAGATATCAAGGCACTGTATCGAGTTTTATTTATGTTTTTGCCTTTGCCTTTCTTTTGGACATTATTTGACCAACAGGGATCCCGTTGGGTTTTACAAGCAACTCAAATGGATGGCTCTTTAGGTAATACTACCGATGGCAGGGGCTCGGGAGCCGGGGGGGTGCATAGGGGGGCATGGACCCTCATAAAATATATTTTTTGGGGCCTGCCCCACCCCTACATAACGGCATCGAAACATTCAATAATTCATTTTTTGTCATACTAGTAAAATGCATTTGCAAAAGTTGAAGTGACGTCATCATTTTAAGTCTATGATTGTGCCCCCACCCGGAGTATATATAACCGACCCCTGTACTGTATCTGTCTCTTACGCAATACCAATTTTGATTTCAGGTGCCCTAGGAACATTAAAACCAGATCAAATGCAGGCGCTAAACCCGGTTTTTATAATTTTATTAATCCCAGTATTTGAAGGAATCATATATAAAGTGTTTTTCAAACCAATGCCTCTAAAGCGAATGTGTGCTGGAATGTTATTAGCTGCCACAGCCTTCGTCATAGCTGGCCTTGTGCAACTCAAAATACAGGTATTTAAGGCGGGGATACTTGRACATATGGTTACTATGGTTACTATGTACTTGTAGAAGCTTTTGAAAATGAAATTAAAGGTCCTTTAAATTTGTATTTGGGTTATTTAGGTTTCCAAGGTGAAACTGTGCGAAAGGTTGATGAAATGAATGACCATGTACCCCACAAAGTCACAGTTTTATAGTGCTAAAGGACGTATATTTTTCTGACTATTTTAGTGTAAAGCTTGTTTGAAGCTATAAGGTTATCAYTGATTCGTTTGACTTTGCACAATTAATTGATGTGAAGCTCAATAACATTCAGGAGGTTTTCATCAGCTAGAGCCTCTTAACATAACAGTTGACGTTGTAGTGAAACCGAGAAAAAAGAAAAAAAAGTCCTACTTTGCGGTTGTTATTGATTCTTAGTTTATTGTTGCGTCACTCTTATCGTAGCTTATTTAAGAAAATTTGTTTTCTTTTACTCCAGGCAAGTCAAGTTGATACAATCCCACCTTTTGGAAAAACAGACATTCGATTTGTCAATAGTTTAGACTCTAAGGCATGGGTGGCTATGCCTAAATATAATTTAACTATGGACCCACATGGCAAGTCATCAACAACTCGTCTTTCTGCGCCTGCTGCTTTCGACATTGTTGTTAAAGCAGCATGCGGGAACTACAAATCCCATGTCAACATGAAAGAAAGACTGGCATATGACTATATCATCGGCTGCCAAGGTAATCAGGTCACGTGTGTACTCGTGGATCGGAAAACATCGGTGCCAGCTGGCAAAGCATCGTTGTGCATCGTGGTAAACCGGTTTGACCTGATTGACAGGCTTTTTTCACTTGAAATGAATGGCAAGATAATGTTGGAAAATGTCAGCTACACCGAGAATAATAATACAAGGTATGTAGAGATATTTTTTGTCATTCATACGAGTGTTCTCGAACGGTGAACATTTGTCCTTTATAGTGAAAAGGAATGTATTCAGAAAACAACGACGACGACAGCAAGAGGCATGAGAACAAAAAAGATAAAAAAATAACAGCAGTATGAGCGGGGAAGTCTCCCCAAATAGGGTATGGCTTTTGGGGCTTCGTGTCTTGAATAGGGAAAACAATTTATCTTGCACAGGGTGTCAATATTCATTTGTCTGAAAAGTCAAAACTGTAAAAACAACATATTTTGAGATCTTTTAACAGAAAATTCCTATTTCATATCAACCCTCGAGTCTTGGATGGGGTCTATTATTGAATAGGGTATGGAATTTCAGGATTTGATGTCTTGAATATGGTCAGAGTTTAAAGGTGATAGGAAGACGTCCCCGTCCGAAACAAGATCAAGKGGACCCGAGTTTCTTTTTTTTTTAAATAATAAAGTACGAAATCATTTAGTAAATGTTCTTTTCTATGAAAGTGTAAAATTGATAGACTGTATATTTCTATCTTAGATGCATCAGTGTTCCTCCTAAGCACTATATTTTGGAAGTGAAGGATCAAATCAACAAACTAGTTGGCAAGAAAGCCATAACTCTCGATAGTGATGTCGTATACACATTGGTTCTTTCAAGTAATAAGAGTGATGGCATATTTATATACAAAGACATGAAAACCAAGTTGGTGTCGATGCTTTGGCAGATTCCCCAGTACTTTGTCATCACAAGTGGAGAAATACTATTTTCCATCACAGGTAATATTTAGTAATTATTTAGTAATAAATTGTTAATTTATTATTATTATTATTATTATTATTATT